AACGGTGAGCGCAACCGTGAAATCAAACTTTTTTTTACCTAAAATGCATGAGCTTGACTTGCATGACATGTGGTTTCAACAAAATGGTGTCACATGCCACACAGGACGCTTAACAATGGACTTATTGAGGTTAACATTTTATTTCACGTTCGGGACCGTGCGATTTAACGCCTTTAGACTATTTTTTATGTTAAATCGGTTGTCTTTATCGACAAGCCCGCTTGAATTGAGGCATTGGAAGGGAAAACTGAAGCACTTATTCGTGAGATATTGGCCGAAATGTTGGATAGAGTATGCCGAAATTGTACTAAGCGGATGTGCCATTTGAGGCGCAGTCACGGTCAAATCTGCATGAAATAATATTCAAACATTAAGTTATATGGACCGTACCATCAATTCAGATAATGATTTAATGCATTTTGGTGAATTTTATGTGTTTTTCTTGAAAAAATTTCAGATAGCTCTTAATAAAGAACCCTATACCTGGCTATAGTTTGTCTTCGATTTCGTCCGCATGGAATTTTAATATGGTTTTAATAAGGTGTTAATTAGGTTATGTATTTATTATGACCTAAAAACTATTATGTTAAATCATATGAAAAAAAAGAAAACCTTTGCATATGTTAGCCTAGTCAAGAAACTTTCTACATTTTAAATCTCAAGCGAATCGGACCATAAATATATTTCTAAAAAAAGGGTCTCCACTCGTCGGCATAGGCATACTCCGCATATTAAACGAAACCTGATTCCATTGCAGGCCAACTTCCTGGTAAAATAGTCCTGATGTTAATTTGGGCAAAAAACTTCCTCTGTGCCGAATTTCCCAAGTCCCAGTTCCAAGTGGCGGAAAATTCTATCTTATCAGATACTTACGTCACATGCAGAAGATACTCTCCAAGTTGCAGGTTCCTACCAACGTTCAATGGTTTAGGCTATGGGTTGATTCGTCAGACATTCAAAACGAAGATTTTCATATATATGTATATATATATTATAGATTATATATAATGAAGCTAAGTTCCGATATAAAATTTTGGATCAAAAATCTGTCAAAAACGCATCTAGTGGCGTGAAATTTGGTATTTATATACATATGTTTGTACATAAACTCCAATAAATATTGACCCTGAAAATCATTGAGGTCGAATTTTTCACTTTGCATATTTGATACGCTCATGAAAGGTGTAAAGACTTCGGTATGACCAAAGATAGCACTTCTTCTTCGTTAAAACTGCGGCCACCCATCGGCAGGGAATCTTAACATGAAATAAAAACTCCTCATAATGTGATACGGCTAAGAATAGGTAGGTCTGTAGGTCCTACCATTTGTTGTGAAAATATCAAAACGAAAACTATAAATTGCAAGACGACAGATAAAAATGGATTTTTTAATCAAATATTTAACATTTTTTATTTCTCTCACGAAATTTAAAAATTCCTATTTAGGGCATTTTTACATGCATAGATACTTTTGTACGAAATTTGAATATTCAAAATTTTAAATTTGTTATGGTATTTTATACCAGCGCACAGGCTATTTGCTTTTTCATATGTACATATGTTCAAATATAAATATGTAAATAAATTTGTACATAAGTATGTATGTATGTACCATATCGCTCAGTTTTTACAAAGCTATTTGTTTGGAGTTAAATTTGCAATTTGTCGGTTTTTGAACTCAATATTGAAGTACGCTTGCGTCACAGCAGTGCGACCTTCAAAAATTTACAAATTAAAAAGGAAAAAAAAAATTAAAAAATGATCTGATGTGAGAAAAGTCAAAGACATCAAATGGTGTTTAAAAATAACAATAAACATTATTTTAATTTGGCGTTAAAGCCTTTGGCGGGAGAATACTATTAAGGTACGCAACTTGAGATTTAACAGACTGATTTACTATTTTTTTTTTATGTGTTCAAGTAGTAAAAATGTCTTTTAATATCTCTTTTGATAATCGCTTGATTGAATTCACTGACCCAATTATATGTCAGCACCTCGATAAATTTATTGTAAATGTACATACACGCCCAGATGAATATTGCATATAAATACATGAATGATCATTCGGCCCTGTACGAAATTCAAGACTGTTTTAGATATTTAAAAGTGCCACTTAAAATTTCCTATTACAAATAAATCTTTAAGCGAGTGGAATTTCACTAAATCAAATATACTTTTTCTTCAAAGATTCTGATATATCTTCGTAGTCACATCCAATTGCACTAGAAATTGTAAACGTCATGTGTTCCAATTAACTCATTTCGAAAATGTTATAAAAGTTGTATTTCAATGTGCAGCCAAGCCTTCAATGACAAATGCTGTTAACCTATTTAACACTTCTAAAAACACCACTACTCAAACGATGCTTCGCAATAAATACGAATGCACTGAGATCAATCAATTCCGATTTCATCTTGGTAAGTTTTAACCGTCGCCGATTAAACCTTTTTTGATAAAGTTTCAGCCTTTCATTCAGTGATCGCCGAGACTACACCGTAGATAATTCCGAAAATATATCAGCTCGTTTCCACAGTTACCGAAAAGGTTTGTACGAAAATTTCGGGAGGAAGACCAGAAATTTACCTATTCGGAAAAAGCTTCTTCATAATTCGATTTACTTGAAATTCGGAAAGAATTAGAATTTATCGTTCGAATTACTTGAAATGTAGTACATACGTGTATGTTTGTAAGTAGGTGGGATTTTGCTCAGACTAGCAGGTAGGCTATTATTCTCTCCCAGAAGTCGACTACGGACCGACTCACTCGAAAATATATATATTTCACAGTTCGATTTACTAGAAATTCGGCACAAATGTAGCTGGGATTTTACTAAGATTAACAGGAAGACTACTCTCCTCTTTGGGAAGTGAGTTAGTTCGATTTACTGGAAACTCGGCACCCTTCTCTCCGGGAAGTAGACTATGGACCGACCCACTCGAAAAAATCTTTATCATATACTTGAAACTCCGCTTTTTACTTAGATTAATAATAATAATAATAATAATAAACTACTTACTCTCCGAGATCTGGATCCCAGACCAACCTTTTCGAGAAATTCCTATTTATACTTCTTATTTAGACCGAAGGCCGAACTTTGGAAAAATAGACAACTTCATTGTTCGCTTTATGTATATTTGTTTTGCTCTTTTTTGCTCTTAAAATGAATAACACTTTCGATACGGGAGAGGCATCACCAGCAGATTGACAAAAACTAATATGATTTAGACATCAATAAATGTTGTGGAAAGATCTGTTTACCTTGCATTGTTTTTGTTCAGCGTGACTGCGGGTTGCCAACTATTCTGATGCGTTCTAAAAGTAGAAGTAACGCAGTCGAACAAGTAAGTCGTCAGATCAAAAATCGAATAAAAAACTGAATGTCTTGAATTGGATGCTGCTTAATTACTGAAGCGGCTCCTAATGCTTAGCTAACAACCGGGGGACCTATAATTTATTTTTACTAAGTGGCATTCTTACGGCCTGTTTGTATTTTAATGAAAAGCTTTCTATTTCATGTCAGAAATACACTCGAAGGGCTTGGGACTCCCACCGAAGGGCGGAAAAGATAACAAATAAAAATCAGCCCGGATGAAATAATAAATTGCCGGCAATTATGTGGAAAACGTCAGAAATTTTAGAACTATGTAACCAATTGACTCAAGTTATTTTGTATTTGAAAAATATCATAGGAAATAAGTTTGAACCATTTTTGCGTCTTAACTCAAAAGCATTTGTTGATTTAAAGTAATTTCAAGTCTCAAAATTAATATCAGAAAAAAAATATTTTACTTACTACCTTCACAGCATCAGTTCACTAGAGAACTTGCTTAATAGATGTTAAAAAGTTGGTTACCTTCAAATGTGCTAACGAAATGCTCGCACAGAAATAGAACTTTGACTTTTGAAGGTTGCTCACCGATCAGTTTGCTTAGCTTAATGCAGACAGGCTTTTTTTATGTGATCAAAGTTTCAGGGCTTGATTTTATGTTGTGTATGCCAGCAATAATAAAACTCAGATCAAGACATTGAAGTTGCTGGCTAAAATTCAACTTAATATAGTTTTAAATGCATGTTAGGCAGGTGAACGTGTTGAAAATATGTAATACATATACATATATTTTATACATATGTATATATTTTTTACACATATTTTTTTTTATATATTCAAGTATTTCATACATTTACATACATATTTTTTCTACACAATTTAATTAGCTGAGTTTCAGTGAAGTAGTAATATTTAATAATATTTTAATTTAAAGCGCCGCAAAAAAATTTAAATTCAAAAATAAATAATAAGTATTCCAAGACTTTTTTATTTGACTTTTCAGCAATGTTGTTCTCACAATTTTTGAACGGTTTCAACGACGACTTTCATATCTATCCAAAGTAAAAGGTTACATAAATGATATCTTTTGAATAACAACCACAAATTAGAAACACTACACTCTGCACAACATTTTGAAATTACACATACGCATACATAATAAAGATACTTTTTCACAATATCTCAGCAGATAAGATACTTCCTCACTCACAATTGCTATCGAAAACAATCACCTTTGTCATTGCAATTAAAATTTTTTATGTTCATCGTTTTATGAACAAACACTATATTTCATTCTTCATGCAATAAGATTAGTGAAACTGTTACATATTTTTTCAAAATTTTGCTTGATTTAACATTTTGTTGTTAACACCTATTTGCTGCCAAACAATGTGATTAGGAAACCTCCGAAAGAAATATCACTTTTTTTGTAAATTTTAATTTGTAAATTTATTTTTTGTTAATTTCAGCGCCCACAATTAGCAATAAAATAGGTTAAATTACCAAAACATTGTTTATTCACAAACATATATTTTTTTTTAATGTACGCAATTTTTACTGCTCTTCAAGGCAACTTGATGATGACATTTTTCCCACAATTTTTTTTTTTTAACGCAATGATATATAATATTTTGTAGAATATACTATTTCAAATGTTGATCCAAACTCATACCTAAAATATTACAAGAACAAATTTACTGATATATTGAAGTAATCCGTAAGCAATCGCCGAAACGCGCGTACTCGCTACTATGAAAAAAATCAAACTGACAAAATTATTTGCCAAATTATAAATAAAATAAAATGTGTGTGCTCACAATAAAAATTTTGAAAATGTAAAAATAGTGTAAAAAGCCCAGTCTTGGCGCAATAAGAAACCATCGAATAGCAAAGCATAACTTAAGTCAATTTTGAGTATTGCCCACTTGCATACCTACATGCAAACATGCATACATAAATACACACACACATACGCACATAGGTAAATAAACATATTAAAGTTGTACTAAACCAGGTGGAGTTGAGTAGGGTTAAGAGTGTTGACAGTGAGAGCCATATGTACGTAACTGAATCAGCACAGATGTTTTACACTCAAACAATTCTCCATATACTCATGCAAGGCCGTTGAAAACAGTGAATGGATTTGCTAACACTCTCCAATACAAAGCGATGAGAAAATGAGTTTTTGAGCGACCTGCTCTCCTAATGCAATCTTAAATATCAGCTGCCAGCTGCCATCGGCCAGAGTAGGTCACTCAGTCATTAGCCAAGCGGTAGATGCAGCAGCCGAACAAACAAACACGCAAACTGGCCGACTGTCACTCCGAAATGCATGCAACCAGACTCTAGACTATAAAAGTGGGTTTTTACGGCGATTGCAACGTGCAACTTGAGTTGTTGCATAATAAAAATCAACACGTTGTTGTTTTTTTCTGATTTTTACTTTAACTTGTTGCTTTTTTGTTTATTTCATTTTTCAATGTAGTCAAAGGCGTCAGCGATGACGTCGTAGTTTGTGCATTACTCACCATTTTCTTGTACTTTATCGCTCTCCATGCGTTTACTTTATCACGAATTATGGTTTAATTTTTGGGTTTTCCACGTTTTTCAACGTTTTAGCATTGCACCGGCTGTACACATGCGTAAATTCATGAGTACTGGTTAGCGCTCATTCGCCTTAGTTGGAGCATTAACCAGCCATTCACCATTTCAGTATAATTGCGCCATTTTAGTGAGTTTAAATTGTTATGTTTGACCTTGAGCATTTAGTACAAAGCTCAAACTCTATGAAATTTAGATTACACTGAGAGAAAGTATTCATTAGTTGTGATACCGCTTTGGTGTACTTCTCATCCTCTCAGATATACGGACCAGTTCATGTGCCATGCCGTTTACACCAGCCGTTGATACGTCAGGTAGGCAGTCAAAGAAATGGCGTCGGGCTGGACGGTGTCCGAGGTAGTGCTGAAGAAAGTCTTCCACTTCTTCGTCACTGGAGCTAGGAATCATTGAAAAAGTTTCCCATTCTCTTACCGTGAAATCCCATTAAACAGTGTCCAGTTAAAGTGCATCTCCAGTGGTGAGTCGGACTGTGCAGTTCTGATCTTTTAACGTACAGCTCATGCCTGAGCTATATAGTCGTGTTACAGATTTATTCGCTAAGCCATCTCGTGTTGATTGTTTTGATAAAACCTAGCATTAGTCTGAGTTTTTCTGTAGGCAAGAGCATGCGCACGACATGCCAGGGTTGTCACTATGTACAGGCCCCCAGACCATGGCTGTTTTGCATCTAACTGAAAGCTTGTTTAAAGAGTTTCTGCTTTTCAGCTCAGCTTTTCATGTAGTGTAATTACATTGAATAGTTCCGATGGCAGCTTGGCAATCCGAGCATATACTGATTGATCAGTTTGTTACCAGAGATCCCAGAAACTATTCTGCAGCTTCCGTGATTGCAACAAAATCTGCTTAGAAGACTATGCAGTAATTTGGTGGCCTCAAATTTTAATTGCTTAAGAGCCCTGTTGAGTCAACTCCACAACCTACCCTTTGCAAGAGCTTAGCCCCATCTGCTAAGATGTCTACGCCACTCTGATCTGTAGCATTTGCATTATCCCATTCATTCCTGTGTGGGATTCTTGTAAAGAAGAGATTGTCAAAACAGTTAGTGGATAAGCGAGGAGTCAGCAGAAGTCTACCTTAGCTGTTATATAAATTTTTGCACAACAAGTTAGTGGTTCAAAAGCTAAAGTCTTGCGATTCATCCAGAATTAGATGCACAGCGATCATCTTCTTAGAAAGCATAGCCGGTTGTAATGCTCGTGGAACTCCCTCCTGAAGAACAAAATCATCTTCGCCGAGATGGGCAAAGCCGTTATTACAAGATGTACCATAAGAGGTATGTTTGAAGGGATAGTCTTATCTCCACTGCTAGGTGCCTCATAGTAAACATAGCAAGCACGCGCAAATCTAAAGTGATTTACTTCAAATTGGCTTAAACATAACTGGAAGCTGGTGCAGGGTATGTGGGCTAGATGTCAATGCAACTAAAAGGGAACTGATTATCTTCAAAAAGTGACATACATAAACCCATTCCTTTCAAATCACCCAAACTAATAGGGAATCAGTCTCTCTTCCGAAGTTATAGATAGCAAGCTCAACTTGAGTTGAAAGGTGGCTTTCTAGGTATGCAAAGCGGTCCTTGAAAAAAGCTGGAGCCTGAAATCGTTTATTGTTCATTGGATTCATGCAGTAGAGGTAACTATCTGGGTGCCAGAACTAAAAATATTACTTTCTGGAGTAAACTGGACAGAGTTCAGCGCTCGGCTCTTCTTCTTATTACCGGAGTTTTATCGTCGACTCCATTTAAGTCCTGGAAACTCTTTCAAATTTCCTTCTCCGCGCAGTTACGGATCGGAGTCAGACTAGGCTATATCCACTAACTGTTTTGCGAATCTCTAGAGTGGTAAATGGCTTTGCTGGCAAACGCCCATCGTAGTTGTGTTTTCTTGAGAAAAAGTGTTGGCCACGTATTTCGCCGAATTTATTTAGTAAGGGTGTTTGCCGTTTCAGCTAGCTTTTCGGGCGCAAAGTTTGCCGATAAAAATTGCTGGATGCTTTATCAAAAACTATATTTTTCCATACGTTTTTGCTTGTGATTCTTATGAATAGTTCAATATCCAGGCAAAAATTAATGTACAAAACGCTGTGTGAGCAGAAGAAACAGTGAATTTTCAAAAAGAATTATTAAATTTTTTGGACCCAGAGGGAGTCCAAGAGGCACGTATTTAATTTGAAAATCTGTGTACCCTTTATAATGCTAGGTAATATCAATTACCCTAAACTCTGTAACCTCACACGACTTACAGTCAAAATATTAAAGAGGAGCCTCGTAGAAACAATTGTTCCGATGGGACTTTTCAAAATTGAATACAACCTTATTCCTCGATTCCCGAACAATCCGTATAAATTTAAGCAACTACAGTGTTTTGTTAGACTTGCAATCACTATCAACAAAGCTCAGGGTCAATCTTTTAAACTCTGGGGTCTTCATACGGTTTGTTTCGCTCATAGACAATTTTTTGCGGCATATTCTAGAGTTGGCAAATCAAAAAAAAAAATACTTTTATTTAAGTGGTCGATGGTGAAAATAAAAATGTTGAAAGCCCGCAGGTATTGCGTAACAAAATTATGATAACAAGATATTTAATGTCTCAATTTTTAAACATTCGTTAAGTTTGTGCCATAGTCAAACATTGAAGGGCACAGTTGTACATATATACTCATACATACATACACTCTGTTGCAATATTATAAGACCGAACAAAAATGATCTGTTACTGGTAACCAGTAAGAATTTAAAAGAAATGGCAACGAATTCCATCAACTTACTCCAATGATCGGCGTGATCCACAGATGTCGCGTGCCCAATGGAGAACATATGAGGAATCTTCGTCCGCCAAATTTATTCAAAAAATCGGCAATTTAACACAGTGGACGAAATAAAAAAGGCCGTGATCGAAGAGTGGAGAAAGTTAGATGCTGCGCTATTAAAAAATAAGTTTTTAGTTTGAATAAGAGGATTTTTGAATTAATAAAAGAAAAAGGGCAAAAATATTAAAACAAACAAATCAAACGCATTTTCTTATTAAATTCAAACCAAATTGAATAAAAACTGAACGTTCTAATAATTCTGCAACACGTATTTAACTCGTTTTCTTTTTTACTACCTAAAGCTTTTTTAGTTAAATTAATTTAAAAAAAAGTCTCTAAAATACTCATTGGTTATCAGTAAGAGCTTATTTTTGAAAGGTCTTATAATATTGCAACAGAGTGTATGTACATATATAAATATTGATTGTCAAATGTCTCCCTTTCGCTTTTTTGCCTTTTGAATTTCGCGGCTATGCACAAAGCGCTACAGAGCTCGTATCTGGCAACACTAAACATAATTTGAAAGGTCTTGACATAACCTACAAAACAACCCTATGCATGATTTGGATATTGCGTTCAACAGTCATAGACGTGTAAACATGGAGTTCACTAACGCCGAAATTCGCGCTATTTTAAAGTTTTCCTTCGTTAAAGGCAAATCCGCTAGAGAAACGTTCCGTGAGATTAATGGTGTTTTGGGGGATGGTACTCTATCACTTCGAACCGCGGAGGAATGGTTTCGACGATTCAGAGCCGGTGAAAACGACACCATGGATAAGCCAGCCGGCGGAAGACCTGTGACGACAAATACCGATCAAATCATGGAATACATCGAGTTAGACCGGCATATGGCATCTCGTGACATCGCCCAGGAGATGGGAGTTAGTCACCAAACCATTTTGAACCATCTGCAGAAGGCTGGATACAAAAAAAAGTTTGATGTTTGGGTGCCGCATAATTTGACGCAAAAAAACCTTCTGGACCGAATCAACGCCTGCGATATGCTGCTGAAACGGAACGAACTCGACCCATTCTTGAAGCGGATGGTGACTGGCGACGAAAAATGGATCACATACGACAATATCAAGCGAAAACGGTCGTGGTCGAAGGCCGGTGAATCGTCCCAAACAGTGGCCAAGCCGGGATTGACGGCCAGGAAGGTTTTGCTGTGTGTTTGGTGGGATTGGAAGGGAATCATCCACTATGAGCTGCTCCCATATGGCCAGACGCTTAATTCTACCATCTACTGCGAACAACTGGACCGCTTGAAGCAGGCGATCGACCAGAAGCGTCCAGAATTGGCCAACAGGAAGGGTGTAGT